TAGAGCCTATTGCAGCGAGGATAATGGCCAGCTTTGAGCTTTCGATGCCATATTCGCATCTGCTAGAGCCATCCTACAACTACCGGAAGGCCGATTCGATGGTCACACTAGAGGCGCTGGTCGCTGCCGCAGGATTCATATGTTGAAACCTGTTGTTCTGTTATAAAAGTGTGTGAAATCGCTGTGCGCTCAATTTGTATCCCTCAAGTATCGGAAATCTGGGCTAGTGAAGCCACATTGGTTCGACAAAGAGTATGACCAGTTGGCTAGACAGCGACGCGTATTTTTGGAATAAATTCCCCAAAGTCTTGCTCTACGGACGAATACGAAGTGTACAAAAGGCAAAGGAATCCATGCAACAACGCGAAAACAAAAAAGCGTCGGTAGTTCGAGGAAACGCTCGCAACCGCAGCGAAGATGGTCCCCAGGCGAACTACCGCTCAACTGAAACGGCGCCTGAGACCTGCAAGTGACGGAGCGGTGTTAGAGGGCTCTGACGGACAGCCTCTAAGTTCCAGCGCTGAAGGTACGTTTGCATTGGCGACGCACTACGCTTCTGTATTTGCAAGTGAGTATGTGTCTCTACCAAGCTCGACGTGTGCATCCTCTGCAGAACTCGAGAGCCTGGATTGCCATGTGGAAGATGTCCGCGATCTATTTGCCAGAACGAAGCCTACCGGTTCTTATGGGCTCCACCCGTTGATTCTAAAGTCATTGTCAGCTATCATGTCGCCCTCCGTGACAGATTGCTGTCCGAAGGTGCATTGCCGATCGACTGGAAATGCTCGATAGTGAAGCCGATTCCGAAAGGCCGTAACCTGAGTAAGGTGGAAAATCACCGGCCGATTTGTCTGACCTCCCTTTTAAACAAAGTACTCGAAATCGTGTAAAAGGATTTACTACAGTTGCTGGAGCAGCAAAACCTTCTTGTGTCCGCACAGCATGGCTTTATGTAAGGACGCTCCTGTATCACCACCTTGCTGTTTATATGGCTTGAAACGTTGCAACCGGTGAACCGAGGGAAATCGGTGGATGTAACCTACAATGATCTCAGTAATGCGTCTGACAAAGTAAACCCCGAGGTCCTCCTCAACAAGCTGATGTATGATGTTGGTGGCTCGATGCACCACTGAATCGGTGACTGCCTCATTGGGCGAAAACGGAGGGTACAGGTGAATGATCAACTAAAGGAATGGTATCCCTCCACTAGTGGGGACCCCAAAGCACAGTGCTGGGGCCCATTTTGATCCTGATACAAATCAACGAAGTAGCACTTCCTCGATGACCTTGCACCTTGTTTATAGAGAACATGAAGATTTGGAGAATAATTGATGTTCCCGACGACTGCGGCGTACTTCAGCACGACCTTGACCGCCTGTCCTTGTGGTCTGCAGAGGTCGACTTGCCGGTCAACCCAGTTAGATCGTTATCTACCATACTGGGATAAGGTGACCGGACAACCGCTGCATCTCACACATTTCGTGAAGGATCTCGGCGTACTCTCATACTGTGAGTTGAAGTCCGTAAACAACACAAACAAGCTATGGAGAAACAGACTGAGCATGCTGTAGACACTCAAATGCAAGTTCTAATTTGGTCTGAAAAGATTGTTATGCGCCTCTACTCTTTCATCATAAGATCGATGCTTGAGTACGGCTCATTCGCCTATTCTCCGATCATGTGGCGAGACGCAGAAATTGCGTCGGGTTCAGCATGTAGCTATCAGACTCATTACCAACTTACGGGGTGTCGTACGAAGACAAATGCACACGACTAGGGATGTACACCCTATCGTACAGTCGGTTTGGAGTTTACCTCCTAATGACGTACCGGATATTACATCTGGATCAGTTTCCCATACTGAGGCAACTGCTGCACGTGCGAGCACCAGGCAGTAGCGTGGCCACTGGTACCAGACCTAAAGTGTGTAGGTCATTATCTTTGTTTTAAACGGCGAGTGGTGAAATTTTGGGATAAAGTGCTTGAGAAAACTGGATGCGAAATCTGTGTTGGAATTCCAGCAATTCTTAGACTTGTGCTGCACCACCCACAGTTCCATCTACACATCCCATATCCAATGTAAAACCGACGAACCGGGAGGCATGTGGATGGGAGCCATGATCCATCAAAGGAGTGGGCCCACAGTGCTTCACACGCAAATACAAGCACGGTGTATGTGAGGAATCAAGCGCACATGAGGCGGTGGCTGGACCGTGGTCCGCTCCAAACTGAGTGCATGGAAGCACTCTTCAAGCCTAGCACGGTAACGAGGACCGTGCGAATCGTCTCCCCACCCCACCAGCAATGTCCCACAGTCCTCCGGAACCAGTTTGGACGTGATGGGTAATAGAGCAGCGGAACGGAAATTCGTGGACCGGGATTCGATTCCCCGTCGAGGCACATTATTGTGCGTGCATGTTAATCGTGACTTCTACTTCCTACAAAATATGCACCTTGTCAAGATGTACATCAAACGCAGCCACCCCGGGGATGTTAAGCAACGGCCAATCACTTGAAGTGATAATAATAAATAATACGTAGAACAAGGCATATCCCGAAATACCTCGTCGAAAACTAGCATAGGTAATAAATTGGTTATCAACGAATCCGCGCTAATTTCGAGATAACATAAAATATATTTTTTTTAAATAGCCACCAACGCGAAAATTTAACGAAGCTAACTACAATTCGCATAAGTGACGTGTGCAAGCTAATAGAAGGTTAATCATGTAGACGTTAAAATGAGATGAAAAATCATTAAGGCAAAATAGCAAACCCACCACTTGAAATGAAGAAACTCTGCACGCAAGCACGTGGTTAGCGAATCGAATGCAGCATACCTACCAACGCTGCTCCAGTTTTGCTTGCGTTCTCAGCCGGATCCGTCGTCGTTTCAATGCTGCTGAGCAAGGCAACTTGCATGAAAATGGTGCCGGTTATACGTGCTGCTGGGTGGGGAACGCCACCGCATCACCACGTGAACATGGGGTCAGACATGCAGTATTTGATCGCCTAAAGAGTCAGCTGGTGGGTGAGTCCACCGGCATCAGCGCGACTGATGACTATTTGCCTACAACTCGGAAAAGGTAAGTTTGCCACTTTCATAAGAAGGTACGGTTCGACCATGTGTTATCCTGATGGCGCGCGTGATCAATGCTACACTCAGTTATCCTCCGTGATACGGTCAGTGTCGAGGAGCGACCGACTATTTCTGCTGGGTGATTTCAACGCGCGCATTGGGCGTGATGCATCGGTATGGACAGATGTCATCGGTCCACATGACAATGGTTCAGCGAATGCGAACGGTGACAGGCTGCTCTCAATGGGTGCCACCCACGGCCTGACGATCACCAACACAGTTCGCACCAAGTACGGGTGATACAGCAACTTGGACGCAACCACAGAGTGGGCAGGCTCACCTGCTCGACTATGTCATCGTACGTCAGCGTGACATGCGTGAAGTGCGCATGACACGTGTACTGCGTGGAGCTGAGTGTAGCACTGACCACAAATTGGCGGGGACCAAATTGTACATCTACGTGCGGAAAGTACGAACCCTGGGCCGCCGTGAATCGTAGGCTTAAATTTCACATTCTCACACTCGGTACAATGGAGAGACGTATGCAACTGGAGAAGGCGACGGCTGCATGCCTGTTTGTTGTGGAATGCATAGCCACAGTGGGCGACCTTGGGCACCACATTCGCGACCAGGCGACAGCTGCTGCCGAGGAGAACATCGGGCGCGCAAACCATAAGCGGGCCGATTGGTTTCATGAGAGCAACAGGACGTTGGAGCGGCTTGGTACTTAGACAACGTCGTAGGGTCCTGTAGATGTTCGACCTACGGCTGATAGTGCGTAAGCATGGGCGATCCTCCGAAACGCATCCAAACCTTAGCACAAACCAATGCGTGATCGGAGTCCAGACAAATTGACCAGTACGAGCGGCAGTCTGTTATACTTCCGCGCTGTCTGTTGCTTATTGCTGTGTGGTCAAGCTGGAACGAACCATGACTTTGAGAAGGCGTGCGCCAGGTAGCATTAGCAGCAGAGTAAAATGAACATCTCGGAATGGAAGTAGACAGCGGAAAAGGGAAACCATTGTAAATCATTCCAACTGTTTCATTCAACAGAACGACTCCATGCTACCTACTGATCCGTGATCGGGAACCACTACACCAGGTGAGGGTTTAAGTGACCGACTTGAATCCTTTGTGCTTGAGGCTTGAAACCTCCCCCAACCTAGATTTGAGTGTCCTGACTGTAACTGCTTGCACAGCAGTGAAGAGTCGTATGTTCCTAATAGCTATAATCTGCTTCCCTTCACTAGCTATGTCGCTCATCAGAGCTAAAGAACCATTTTGAAACAGCCGAACTTCGAATACGAGTGGTAGAATTTCGGTAACGAATTATACGGAGGAGCGGGCCTTAAAAGTTCGAATGAAGCGATTAGCACCAAAGAATGGCGACTATTATTCCGGTACCTCGTGTTGTTTCTGGCGCATAGAGCTGACTATAAACGGAAAAGCTAATTAAATTAGAAGTACAACGCTAAAGACAAGGCAGTTGTCAGATACAATTCCACCAAGGATGAACATGACAAACCGTCAGAACAACTGAGATAAATGGCAGGTATTGCTCTTCGTAACACTGCATACAACGATCAGTTTGGTAATTGCTTGCACTTCTCAGTTAGAGGAAGCAGAATTGCTGCCCTAACTCTGGGGATAGACGGGAACGGCTGAAGCTGGTGTAGGTGTCAAGATGGCAGCCGTCAAGCTCTACCCGCCGGTCGGGAATAGTAGTTCTGCTCTCCTCAACGAGTGCAGTAAGTACGAAACTAATCGTGGGCAAAAAGTAGAAATTATATGCGTCAAATAAGGTAACATTGGCTGGACCGACAGAGGTTCACACCAGAGCAAATCGCAGCCCGGATGTAGAATGCGTGTGGCAATTCATCCACACAGTGGATGCTGCAAACGAAAAAACAAAAAGACCAACCTGCTTCATCTTGGAACCGTTTCCAAACAGCCTCTCAATGAGAAAGAAAAATAAGGCACCAATAATTATACAGTGTGATGAAAGACTAGCAGAACCTGCAGAACACAGAGGCAATAGATGAAAGAGAGAAAGTGAGTTACCATTTTGGTTAGACCAGGTCTCAGGTAGAAGGTGAATGAAGACTTCACCAAGCAAACTGCCCGTAGCGTAACTTAACCATCGATTGAGATATCTGAAATCTAGATAGAACGTGAGTAAATTGGGGGTAATGATGAGAAATAATTAACTTGCTGATTTTCCATGGACATTTGTTTCAAATGGGATGAAGAGGAGTGGAACGACTCCACTCAGACCAACGGCAAAAGCTGATGAGATGCATAACACGAATGATGTGTAGTTCTGCTGCGCCAAACTCAAAGTCGAAAACCACATGTGATTCGCGTAAGTGTGAAACGGCTTGGGCAAATAGTGTGGATAGCCACTCCAGTTGGGACACTGCGGAAAATGAGTCTGACGGCCCTCTCACATTTGCCAACAACCGAAGCACAAGAAGTGCATCAAGGAACTGGATTAGCCGAGCACAGCAGAGCACGATAGAGCTGACATGCTGAAAAATTACCAAGAGATGCACAATTAAAATGCATAGGAGACTGCGTTAGCGTCGAGACGGTGTTAGATTTGACTCGTTAGAACATCAGTGGTAAAAAGTAAATGAACCGTAACTATCAAGGTATGAATCAGTAATCGACAGTAGACGGAAAGAGACGTCTTAGAAGAAATGGTAGAAAGAAAAATCCCATAAAAGTTGCAGAAGAGGCGTATAATTGAGACGTGCAGGCTACCTGGAAGCAGCAGACCAAATCAGTCAATGTATCAGTAAACGTTAGCCGAGGGTGAGAAACAGATCTCAGCTATTACGTCGCAATACGAAGGTAATAGACATGAAAATAGCAAGATACTAAACAGTACAGAAGAATAAAAGCTAAAAATATAATCCAAATTACCATCTTATGCATCAAGTATGAGATTGTGGTAGGAGAATGATAATAGGCAGAGGGGGGAAAACAAAGAAACTCATAACATAAACTCCATTTAGGTCGGTTCCTCGCTACGTCAACAAAGGAGTCCAAGACGCTCATCATCAACATAATCAACCACAGCAGTACATCAGCCATTTGAACTGATGCTTCGCTGCCATACAACCATGATGGCCTATGGAATAAAGAATAAGAAAAGGGAGAGAAGAGGGACTTACCTGAAAACCTTAATGCCTTAAGCCAACATTCGGCGTCAAGGCGCCTACACCTTGTGTAGACAACATACCGTCACAAACAGCTGGCTATCGTGCAAAGGCGGCATCCGGGAGACAGCTTCCTTGCGTCTTTCACTGCCACGCGTCATAATCAGCCATTATCTCGCAGATAACTCAGCAACGAACATACTTTAAACAGGCTATCCGATTACGAGACGACAGCAGACGAGCCACTGGTGTCGGTTGCGAGCCATGTCCTGTAAAGTCTCCAGCCAAGCAAAAGCGAGTCACGTGGACTCCAGCCGGAAGGCGACACGGAACAATGGCACTCAGTTTTGTCGTCAGTGACTTTATTTCCCGCTGCCAAGTCAACTTCTGTCCACCTCGAGTCTTGCGACACCCTACACCTGGCAGACTAAACAAGGCCCTCCTAGGTAAGCGGTGACCAGGCATACGTAGCACGTGCCCGCGCCAACGTATCTTATTCAGTGCTATCTGTTGTTCTAGGGATCTAACATGATTATCACTACCTAGTACTCGCCTACGCACATAATCGTTGCAGGCACGCTAATGCTACTTGATAACAGCAATGCTTCGCAGAAAACCATGATCAAAGACTTGAAGGCGCCTCAGATCTTTAGACCGAAGGGGCCAAGTCTCACTACCATAGAGCAGAACGCCCCTCATTGTGGCCTTGTATACACGGCCTTTCAGGCGGAGGTAAACTCCCTTCTGTCGCGAAAAATGCCGCAGGTTCAAGAAGGCAGCTCTGGCCTTTGCAATGCGAGATAACATCAGTTTCTATGCGCTCATCGTTGCTGATGCAGCTGCCAAGATAAGTGAATTGATCAACCATCTCGAGCTGCTCGTTAGCAAGCGTCAAGGTGCCATCAAGTGGCTGGTGGTCCTGCAGCAACACTTTGCACTTTGAAGGTGCGAAGTGCATACCAAATAATGGGACCACTATGGACAGGCTATTTAGAGTTGACTGTGCCACCCCAACATCGTCGAAAAGCAAGACGATATCACCCGCATACTTAAGATCAACTAATCTTTCATCAGGTAGGACCTCAGCGCCCACATCGTGAGATTCCGCAAGGAAACATTACATGATAGAATCCACGACGAAATTGAACAAAAATGGGGAAATCGGACAACCCTGACGAATGCCACTTGTGGTCGGAAGGCTATCCGATAGAACACCACAGACCCTGACGCGACCTGTAGTGTTCAAGTATAGAGCACGAAGGATGTTCACATATTTCGTGGGAACACCTTTTCGCGCAAGTATTTCGAACAGAATCGATCGATCGGCTGAATCGAACGCACTCTTGAAATCGAGGAACACAGCTATTGTGGGGCTACGGTATGCGTGGTCTATACAGCCACGTCCTGGGCGGAAACCTGCCTGCTCTTCCCTAATCCGAGATTCCCGTTCCACAGTGAGGCGAGGAACGAGAATCGAGGCCAGTAATTTTGTCACAACTGGCGTTAGGCTAATACCCCTGTGGTTGAAACAGTCTGTGCGACTGCCCTTCCTGTATATTGCCACAATAATCGGTTCGCTCAAGTTAGCCGGGACACTTCCTTCCAGATAGGTTCAAATAGGGAGGTCAGTGCTTTGTAGAGGACCTCATCTCCATCCTTAAATAGTGCAGATGGGAGGGAATCCGGGCCAGCGGCACGAAAACGATTGACGGCTGTGATCGCGTTTCGGACATCGGCCTCCGACGGAGGCTCTAAACTAACCGTCCATGGCTCGTCCTGCATCACCTGAGTAGGAAGAGGTCCGGGAGCAGGGGGCCAGCTGAACTGATCTTGAAAGTGTTCCGCCCAACGAGCCATACGGCGCTCCTTATTGTGTGTCAGCGCACCCGCGCTGTCTGAGGTACTGCTGTTGCTGGTGTAATGTCACGAGCTAAGCACAAGGCGAGTCAGGTGAACTCCAGCCTGGAAGGCGAGACTACTTGACGGCACCGAGTTGGGTCATCGGTGACTTCATTTACCGCTGTTAAATTAATTTTTGATCACATCGGGCCTTGCGCCACCCCACAGCTGGTAAACAGAGCCTCGTTGGTGACATAACGGTGCTGAAAGGCCCATTTGCACTCCGTGCATTAAATACACGGCGCCGAACACACATATTGCTCAGGCGCTGGTCACACCACATGTGAACCATGCTACGAAGGCACCTATGATCGTACGTAACTGACCTATTTATACCTGCCGATCTAATGGGCCAGGTTTCACAATTGTATAGGAGGGTTGAACGCATGGCTGCATTGTAAACTCTTCCCTTCAGGGCGAGTGATGTCGCGCAGACGCCGTGGGTGGCGAGAAGTAAGCAAAACATAATGCAGCAATTGATAGGGAATGTCCAGCCCTCAAATCTACACTAGGTAGTACGCGCTTGAGAGAACATATGTTCGATACTGAGTAGCGGTCGAGTGAGGGAACTATGCGCGCCCTATCACAGCGACAAGTATGGATAAGAGACAGTGTGCAGAATGAATCGAAGTTGTCGCAAGCAATAGATAAGCGAACGTATTGCAAGGGCAACAAAGTCGGGTTTAAAAACCTTGCTCCAAAGCGGATAAGGCTAGTAATGAAATTCGTTCTTGGATGACCCATAACTGCAGTCAGTTGGAGTGTACGCGTAGATCGCAAACAAGCTGCGTCACTACTCGCGAAGTCTGTTGGTCCTGTATGAGCCCCGAAGCCGAAATGCAAACAGTTGCAAGTTAATCGGAAGTCAGTCTAGTAGTGCATAGTCGGTTGTGCTATTTAGTGCTACAACGCCAGTCACACCTCCTTTGTGCCACCAAATTTGGCACTCTGGGCAATGGGGGATGTCATTATTATTATTAGTATTGTATTCGTATTATTATTATTATTATTATCGTTAGCCAGAGGTGGAAAACACCTCAGCTATTGTGCCAAAATACACGAGATAGAGGAAATGCAACAGATGCATGCCGGCTGAGTCACCAGTAACGGATGGATATCGTTTCGGAGAGCTAACAACTGGCTATTGTGCCGCCTAGTAAATGAAGTCGTGGTTGGAAGGAAAGACTAAGTGGGAGGGGGAGGAACAAAGAAACCTAACGCAAAGACCACTGTGGTCGACTCCAAGCCGTGTCAACAAGTGCAGCTAGCCAAACGCGTTCATCGTCCTTCGGACATGGGGGATGTTAAATTAATCAGTGCTGAGATCATGCAATCGGGTTTCGGAAAGATAGAAAACATCGATGGCGATGGATTTTGTGATGCGTTCAAGATTAGTGTTGCCTAATCTGCATGAGCGTATATACATTGAAGTATAGCAGACGGAAAGATTATGGGGGGAAAATGAGGGCGAGTGACCCAGCTCTGTGACGCCCATGGAACAATTGGGGGAAGAATCATGAAAACATAAATAGGCTAGTGACAGACAACAAGGATTAGCAACAAATAAACAAGTAAGGTATGAAGGTGCAAGGGTAGCTGATCGTAGTATCATCATCATCACTCATGCTATGACCTAAAGTCCATGAGCAGCACGAATAGAATTTATCAAAACAGTCTTCGTATGCTCTGGGTGCTCAGGAGCAGCTTCAACACTCGATCCGAAATGATGGCCACTCACCTCTTCGTATTAATAATACGACCTATGGTAAAGCATGGCTCTCCCGTGTATTGTCCTATCACCCGGGGCGAGGTAGAAAGGATTGAGTGAGTGCAGCATGAGAACCAATTTAGGAGGTGTGCCTTACGAAGACCGGTGTAACAAACTAGGGCTGTACACCCTAGCTTATTGTCGACTGCGGGTTGACTACATCATGACGCACCAGATATTGCATCTCGGTGAATACCCCATGTTCAGGCCGCTGCTGCATCTGCGCACACCAAGCAGCACAGGAGGACAACGGAACTAGCTTGTAGTGCCGAATTTGAAGCGGGTCGCCCACCAACTCTGTTTCGAAATAAGTGTGGTGAATGTATGGAACAACTTGCCGCAGCACGTAGTTAAGGCAAAGTCTGTGTCGGAATTTAAGAAATTCCTGGACACACTACACCGATAGAAAATATATCGAGCGCACACCAACATAACGGGTAACGATAGATGCAGCTACACAGAGATCTCTTCTTACTACTTCCATCCAGTAATTAGTAATCATCATCAGCATCATCAATACACGTT